ACGTGTCTCTGGTTTGTGACGTCCGCTATATCCACAGCATTTACCATTACTTTTGCTTCTACTCAACATTCTTGCTAGAAGGCACCGGTTATTGCATCGTAGAAGGAACAGTTCCTTTCCAAACGCAGATCTGCTCATGCCTTCTTCATTCATTCATGTTGTATGCTAGTCTCGTGGCCGATATCTGGCTTGCTTGCATTCCCATATGAGCAGCTTATAAGTTGCTACGAACACTTCATGCGCACCCAAAATGTTTAACCGGGTCAACCTCACTTTCTTAATCTCCATTTAAAAGAATATTCATGCCCGGAGGAGAATAAAACCATTCCTGGCGTAGCGCTGCCCCTGCCATTTATATTGCTCATAATTATACGTCAAAGACAGCTTTTGTAGGTTATTCGTTCTTACTTATTGTTCTTCCTTTACAACAGGGGCCCCTGTTCCATGAAGTGGCATTGATCTGACCAAAGCAAGTTAAGGAGAGCATCGAAGGGAAAAGCATGCCTTTATTATGCTATATACTAGAGTAGCTTATCGGAAACACTGGGTCAAGTATTCTTAATTAACGGTCCTCCTATTTAACTTTAATTTGAGGGCGTGGTCGCTAAGAATGACTGAGCAGAGGTGTTTAAACTCCACATTTTACTTCCTTGTTCCACCTACAGATATATTGTGCAGCATGTGCTTTTCGTAACTTTTCACTTCTGCGCTTTAGAGAGGAGACTGGCTTTCACAGCCATGTGGAATGCTATAGCCATCAGACAACAAGGTTCACTTCCTGTCTTCTCGTCCTTCCCACTAGGACAATATTACCTGCATACACCAGATCAGTTCGATATCTGATAGAATATCTCGAACTGCACCTTCCCTTCAGAACGAGTCTTTCGTCTCTATCAGGATCAGCAATGTTTTGGAAAAGCGAGATCAATATCAGTGTCACTACTGAATAGCAATGGCAAAGGCACATCTGCCTGGTGACCTTCACAGTTAATCGGGAACCAGCCTGACAGGTTATCTTTGACTTTGGCAGCACATATGATTCCTACGTACACGATTTCCAAAATGTAATCGATATGTTCAGGTATCCCATAGCACTGAACAATGAAATGAATGAACTGCAGCAATAAAGCACAGGAAACTGGGAAAAATCGAGCGCAGATATGAGCCGGACCAATTCGTTTATTAACATTAGCTCATTTACTACAAAAAAGCTGAAACCAACATAAAACACTCCAAACATTCTAGTCTACAGGTTTATTTTCTGCTTCAGTTAGTTATCGACCCTTTACTTTCGCTTTTCTGTGCCCTGCGTACGTCAAAGCAGAAATGAGATAAGCAAATAGTTATTTGCACTGTAAAAATAGAAGCAAGAAAATATCTTCGGACTAATCATCAAAAGAACCCGTACAACGGAAGTCGCTAATCGACTTATGGACTGAATTAAGTCTACTTAATTACCAGTTACAACTACAGCAAGATTATTATACTGCTTACCTTCTTCATCAATGGCTTTGGCATTTATAACGCCAAGACGATTCATATCTTCTTCATAATGGCCATCAAAGATTTTCTACAAAAGCGAGAACTGAGAACGTGTCAGACATTCATGAATAAAGACAAAGTCGGATCCGGAAAACAACGTTGCAACGAGTGTCACTGCTTTAAGGTATAACCATATTCTCCCAAAATCCACCTTTTACCAAAATACACCTACATGACTTGAGGCCTTAGTCCAAATAACAAAACTTTCGGATTCAGTACATATGCACAATATACCTCTCATTACTCATCTGATAAACAAAATAAATCCACCAGAGCTGTAAACGTAGAGAGAGTATTGTTACAATATAAACCGGCACTGGCATTTTTCGTAATCATTAATAACAAATAAGCCTTTTCATAATACGACGCTTACTGGTCCCAAAAATAGCAAGTAACACGAACAAGAGGTAGCACCAGTATGAATTAGTATTAATAACTTTGAGGAAAGTTTCAGACCTCTCAGTATACAAAGGCATGAAGCTTGATGCAAATTCGAAGTTTGCATACCACCAAAGAAGTGTTCACTTCACCAAAGGCCACCATTCATCTCAGTTCTAGTATTTCCTTCAGGTTGAGGGACCGGTAGCTTGGAATGGCTTTTACAACTGTCCAAATATTATGCGAATAGGGTAAGCTCAAGGTCTTGATTTCGTCGCTGCTCAACACATACTAAGCATCTGGCTCTGTGCAAGCCCCTTTACCATCTGCCTCAATTAAAGGCATACAACACGTATTCACCCACCATCCTACACTACCAATATCGAGTTCCTCAGATAAGCAACTTCGATCAAATTTCGCTTCCAAATCAATAAGATATCGATTATTTCTTTAGACTATCGCCTTCGATGCCGACAGCGCTAATTTATGGCATCAAACATTAAATTTCAACTTACGTATGCAAATTTTATTAACAATTCCGCCACATGAGTCTGGAACGGGGCATCGAGAAGACCTTGAAGAGACCAGCTTGAATCTCTGGAACCAAGCCACAGCAAGCTAGGTCCAAAAATGATGCCAAGATTCGTTGAAGACATTCGATTTTCTTCCTCAAACCACGTAACCCTGTAAAGAAGCAAAATGATGAATATCTGCAACAAAGAAGGCAATTGCCATTACGAGTTGGGCTTTTATGTATTCATGTTCTAATATATCGTTGAGATATTATTTGATTTTAAATTGGGCAAAAATGTGTGATAATTTTTTAACATCATATTGAATATGAATCCGCAGTGAGCTGGATGCTTCGTCATGAATCTTAGTCGGCCGATTGTCTCAGTCCTCGAAATATTAGGTGGGCAGTAAGTTAATCATGCAGGATCACATAACTTCTTCATTACCATGTGTTGTATCTTCACAGTGCCAGGTCTGGATATAGATTTATTATGGTGGCCAAGCCCGGTCAAGCAAACTCTCACAAGGCGAGACGATACAACATAACGCACAAGTCACAAATCGATGAGTTCATATACTCGACGATCGGCGCGTAGCAAATGGCGCTCTCACATATGCTAATGCATAGAGTGATTGATTTGACCTGATTACGTGGCGATGTGTGGTCGACTAGACCACAACCTGCAAATAAAATAGTCGGTCGCACGGTCGCATCAATGCACGAATGACTCATGGCGATGACTCATGATCGTCCGTAACACCATGTTTCACGGTGTATTGCATCGCCCCTTGCACCTAGTTGCCTTGGGGCCATTTACGCAAACAACATCTCCATGGCACTTGGCTCTTACAGTGCCAGATGCATCTCGTATCATTATCTTGGCTAGAAGCACTTCACGCTCACTATGAACAACGTTTCAGGAGCTGATACTCCTTATATGCTACCACACAAACATAATAAGCTGTGCGTATGCCGAAATAACGCATATCTGCCTCCAGGCCAAATTTAGCGGTGTTTATAATGTGAGGGAAGTAAGTCTAGATATCTAGCCAGCAGGATGATACGATGCATCTGGAATTGCAGATTCTCAACTATCCTGGAGCGGTGACTTTCTTAAATGACCCCATAGGCAACTAGGAGCAGGGGATGAATGCAGCGCCTCGTAATATTTAGTTATGAAAGACTTAGAAGTTATTTTAAATAGGTTAATTTCATGCTAAGCTAAAGCTTACTGCAGGCATATGAATAATAAGAGAATGATACATTTCAAATTCTATTTGATTATTTATCTGCTCTTTCCACTAACGCTCATCATGAGTTGTCATGTGTCTTGAACTAGTAATTTGAATTCATCATTAAGTTCAATTAAACGTTCACGGTAAACATGATTAAACCGGTTTTTGATGACGAGAAAAGAGCAAGCGGTAAGATATGCAAAGGCATCTGTTTTCAAATATAATGCATCAACCTTATGGTTATGGTCATAAGTGGTGAACAATTGGCACGAGATATGATCCTTGATTGAAGCAGCAGAAATGAAACATGTTTGAAGGGTTATTCGTATTCCAAGGAAGCTTAACGAGGATTCAGAGGAGAATCTCACTAAATGAGCACTTGATTTGTTTCTTCCTGAGGAATGATCTCAATCATGTAGTTTATCTGTTTATGATAACAGATTGGGAGTAGATAATAACCGTCAAATATGTGAGTTAGCTGCATAATACGCAGAAAATCTCAGAAATAGGCAATCATAGACAGTGTGATGGCAGAGCTAAATGAAAAGCAACCCACAAATCCAACCACAACGGAGGTTGGTTAGAGAATACCGTAAAACCTGACAACAGCACTATAACGAGGCGAGAATAGGTCGTCGTTAAATAAGGCCTACGCCAAATTCAAAGAAATCATGGCCAATCCGTTGCGTTGCAGCAGGCATCATTTTTCCAGGGCAGTCGAGCTATGATCCTAAAGTATTAAACACCTCATTGACACTTGCTCAAGACTCAGTTGCCTTCCATACAACGACTTTGCCCAAAGAATTGTTAAATCGGCAGTCGCACACGGTATGTGAATGGGGAGCAATACCTTGAAGAACCCAATGCACTTTCTTCGCGACAGCCTTCGTCAGTGCTTATATTTCAGCACGTGCACCACAATCGCATTTGCAAATTTTGCCACCTGGGCGAAGCTCAGCAGAAGATCATTCATCATATATGACACCACAACCCAGTGATGCTGCGTTACTCAACAAATCATCTAGTTTGTTTTTCCAGTGCTGCGATGACCGTGCCATGTTGTTAGCCGTCCCTATTTTGCTTTTTCCTTTAATTTTCGAAATTAATTATTTTGCCTAAAAATATTGTCTCTGTGTGACGTCAAAGTTCAAAATTCAATTTTATCCCCTGTCGAGATGCACGATTTTCATCGCCTCATTATATCCATTTCTCTTATTTATTCATGAGGACAGTGATTTTATTCAAGCAGCGAACCTTGAATTTTGAACTTAGCGCAGCTACGAAAGCTAAGATGGCGGAGGATATTGTTTCTTTAGGTGGGTCGGTGTCAGATGAGTCTGTTTCACTACTTTGAGTGTCTCCGTAATTAAATGGCTCCAAAATAAAACCCTCGATCGGTAGTTTGAGAGTGACAGAAGGCACATGAATTGAGTTTTGCTTTTTGGGCTCGCAAATCTACAATTGCAAGCCGCACATCTAAAATCCGAGCCCAAAAATGTTCACTAACCTGTTCAGGTGTAGACACAAAAATTTGAGCGTTTCGTAGTTCACAACGGGCAACATTTGGCAAAGGCGTTTCATCGTCGAAACGATCTTCCATGCAGACAGAAACTCGCCATTTTTCTTCGATTCTGCGTAACGCTGAAAATCGCTTATGTTGGATTCAAACGAAATTTGGTACAGGCAATTATATGCATAACAAACGTAGAATCTGCTTAACGCCATTTACCAAGACATAAACTCCACGCCGAGTGGTAATTCTGTTATACTCCACACCCCAAAAGTTTCAAAACGTACTTGACCCGTCTTCAGAAGTAAACAACTTGTTTGTTCCTAAACACGGAAGAAGTTCGATTAGAACCGTTTGAGGTTAATTGCACAATCAAATTACCATGCAGCGTCGCACTCTAGCAGAAGTTTGTTACGATGAGGTAATTGAGGATGAGGAACAATCAACGCATTACGTCACGATGCAAAATATCTCAGCGCCATCCTGTTCTCTAGGCCATTTTATTCTCCGTGAGTAGTCTATCTTCTGATCTGCAGAACAGTCGGTTTGGTAACAGCCACAGTTGTGCCTGCTGTTATCACGCGTCCGAATTCCAACGCCGCTGACGTTCCTGTAGCGTGCGACGAGGAAGGAACTATTTGTACTTAACGTCTGTTTGGTCAACTGGCACACGACCAAAAAAACGACCAGCCACGGGGACTCATTGGCTGCTTGACAATAGCGAACACTGTAGAATGAGCCATCTCTGTGTACAATATATAACTGACGACGAAATGCGTTTCTGTGCGTATGTACCGATAGCAACCTTTTCGTTACGGAACAGCAGTCGAGTGTCGTACTACCTCATCACCTCACATGACATCTACAGACGAAATGTCATCGAACCTCGTTTCATGCCTAGCGCCGTCGCCATTTACGTACTCCTCGACAAGCTGCATAAACGTTGTCTTTCAATGCATTTTGCCAATACCTGCGATAATTTTTCTCCTCGCTTATTTGCATGCAATTTTACGGTATCATGGCAAGCTCTGAAGTTAATCTCAACGCCAAGATATCGGGATCGATAAACATCCAATTAAGTGTACATCTCACTGATCAAGCAATCGCAGAAAACGTTTCCTTGCCGTCAACATTCTTAATAATCTAAAACGGGCCTTTTGTCGACCAGGTCCCAAACATGTACCTTTGCACTAATGGAGTTCCATTGGTGAGAATTCATTCCGGCTTCTGTATGACTACACAGAGGAAGGCCATTTGTCCCTCTTTCAGACGTCATTGTGTGCAATGACCGCTCACGTTGATTTCTCCCAATCGATTTGCTCTGCTTTGATTGCTTTTGCTGAGTTGGTAAGTCACTATGAAATATGTTTAGATGCTTTAGTTCCTTCCTTCATACGACTTGTGCTCATTAGGAGTCTGCTACGAACGCATGTTGACGCGTCTTCAATCTCCTCTTTCGAGAGTGCATTTGGACGAGTGCCAAATTTCATGAATTCTTGCTCTGTCTCCCCAACGTTCACACAGTTCAACCGATTCAGAGAGGTTGAACACTTCATGAGGTTTCGGTCACGGCGAGTGGCGGACACCACCGTCATCTCAACCAAGAATAGTGGGCCTGCACCAATTCCATGCTCTCACTTTAGCAATCAAAGTACTTTACTAAATATTATACAGTTACTATATTTTGCTGAAAAACAGTAATGCTTCTGATTCTATTCAAGCAATAAAAAAACTCAAACTAATTCTCATTACAATAATATCAACATGTTGCTGATTTATGGAACTTAAACAAAGTAGACCGCTTCCGCACTACTGTAATAGCTAACTACTACCAGCTCGAACTCCATGGAAGCAACCGAAAGCAACCGGAAAATGATTGGACGTGCGGACTGATCAAAGAAATAGCCGAGAGCTGCGTTTGCCCAGCCCCTGCCCAGCGGAAAGATCAAAGGCGCTGCTTGCCGAACGAGCATATGCACTTATCGACAGGGTCTATAAATGGAAATGCTTTGCGGCCTGCCGGTCAACGCCGCCGATTGGTCAATACCGATCAACGGCTAAGTACAAAAGGACCAGTAGAGCATCGTAATCTGAGACTCTCCCATGTACAGTACGTACGCGAAAAGTGTGAATTAAGTTGTGCGTTTAATCTTCAAATGACGACCAATATCCAAGTGACTGAGAAGATAGCTACTTCATAATGCCAATTAGTGCATGAGGCTTGAAAACCGCCTTTTGATTTGGGTCGTGGCAGCGGCAGCTTCAAATGCGTCTCCAACATTCTCGATCCCGCGCAAACGTCTGAGTTTCGACAAACGATAACCTGAGTCTGAGGTAGAGTACAGCGAAGTACTTGTTGCAGATGAGGGCGGTAGTACGGAGGTAACGATGGGCATCGAACCAGAGGTGGAAGGGGGGAATTCGATTCCGGAGAAGGAATAAGCTTTGTCTTCATAGCAAATTTTTTTGATCAAGGAATTTGTCCCACGTTGCTATTTACGTAGCTGTTTGTCCCACGTCAGCACAACCAACTGAGAAACGGGTAGCAAGTCGCTGGCTTGCGAACAACAGGGACATCATGCGTTTTGGAGTGGTCATACCAGAAGGAGAGGGAGGTATGGCTATGCTGTCTGATGCAAACGTCTCACAGACTGCAATTCACCTTGACTCACCTAATAGTTGCCTATTCGATGTGATGATTAGCAGAAAGATTAGCCACAGTTGTTGTTTAAGTCATTCTTGGCTTTAGTGAGGCCTTTAGCCAGTCGATGCAGTAAATAGTGGCTGTTTCGCCTTCGTTCTGGAAGCATTCGCAAAACATGCTCAAACCATCGAGCAGTACATTTCCTCAATCTGTTCATAATGGTTATTAATAATTTTAGCTTAGTCATAAATATCGTTGCAT